TTTCCACAACAAAAAAAAAGGAGGCAACTCATATTCCAAGTCAAGTCAAAACACTGCACTGTGTATCTCAGTCAGAGCACTCAATATAAATTCACCGCACAAAAATGTTCGTAGTGTTGAATATTGTTGAGTTTGAGCATACAGTAGTCGGCATACCTGTGGCCAACTTATACTCTCACAGAAGTGCACACCTTGTCCATTCAAAGATGGGGCTTAGAAATGCAACTTATCATGGGTTGAGATTACACAAACACAGATTGAGATTACAAAAACATAGCAAAAGCAAACTGCAAATGGAAAGAGGGCGCCATAACCTTTTCCGTTGCATTGAATGAGCGGCCACTTTACCCATTCATCCAACAAAAGACGAGTTGTCGAACAGATGGCGATGTCGACTACTTTAAAAGATTGGCGATGCACTTAGCACTAGGAGGCGAAAATATATACTCACAATGGTCGATCATGGGGTACCGTAACCTCTTGCCGTTGCAGCGATGAAGTCACTTTCACTTGGCACTAGGCCCACGAAATGCAGTCACAAGGACAGATGATAGGAGTCCGTAAATCACAATTCACTATTTACAATAATTTTTCGTTAATTTGATCATTACAAATTAAACAGTTTCCACAAGAAACACACACGCACACACGGGACGGGACGAGCAACAGCGCGGGCGGCGGCGGCGGGGCGAACCTCCGCATCGCGCGCCAACGGCGCCAACCACTCCGGTTTACTCCCGTTTAAAATTTCGGGTCTGTGTTTCTATCTTTCTCGCACGTTTGGTTGGTTATAAAAAATTATTCTCTGGCCTCTAATGCTGTTTACAGCGCCTTAGAGCCCATGTCAAGTAGGCAACCCGTCCACACACACGCATACACAGTACAATTAATTTTTACTGAGGTTATTTAGGCAAAGATGTCAAAAAACGTCGATATGGCTGAGTCTCTTTCCATCTCTTGCCATGGACAAACAGGGAGATGAACGAAACGAAACACCCGCCGCTCGAGAACGAAATGGTTGCTCGTCTTCTCTCGTCAATCATCTTGATGTTTCGAGTTGCGAGTTCGCCCAGTTGTGCCCCTCCCTTCCCTTCCTCCGACAGCAATTTGGGAAAGTGCGATCCGCTTGTATTGGCCCTGCCCTGTCGCTCGGCCTGGAGGAACTGCAGCCAACATGTCAACAGCACCCCCTCCCCCTCCACCATTGTGAAGGAGGCGTAGAAAAGAGGGTGGTGGGCGCTTCGGACGACACGAAAGAAAATATTTAGGAAGTATGATGTGAAAGGTTTGGAATTCCATCTCCAAGTCGGCCTTATCGGGCCCTTATTGGACAGACTCGAAGGACGAGGAGAAGGGGAGGGTAGGGTTGCGGTGCGGGCGTCGTGGCACCTACCCTACATCAACTTGCTTGCCAACGCTGCCGCGAGGGGGGGGACAGGGATGGAGATGCACTTCATGAACGGAAAAGGGAGGCGGTGGGGCCGGGGTGCGCGGCCGTGGGCCGGGGCGTGTG